TATTCATGCTCCTCACATTAGTTTAGGAAAACTGACTTTAGGATAGTTCCATGATGTCCCAAAGGATGTGGTCAAACATCAATTGGCCTCTCTCCAAATAGAAAACTTTATTAAGAGTCAATTTTGGGAAGACAGCTGAGTTGCACAACAGAAAGATGATTACTTGATGGGTATGAGGAAGGATATTGAAGAGGGTAAGGCCTCAAATTTCAAGATTTCTAGTGATATTGTATTGAGGTATAAAGGAAAAGTTTGTATACTTGAAGACGTATGTTGAGAAATATCCTATTAACAGATACTCATAATAGCAAATACACTAGGTATAACTAATTATATTAGAAATATATTAACTCAAAGTTGTTTTAATGAAGTTTGAAATTACATACTGATGTGAAACAAGAAAGAGGAAAGGAGAAGAGAGAAAAGAAAGAAAGAAGGAGGAAGAGAAAACTATATAACTCTTATTCAAATGCCAAAAACTGAACACAATTGTAGAACCCTAGAGTTATTTATAGAGCCATAGAATTAATAAAAATAATAATAAATCTAAATCTAAATCAAATCATAATATAAAAGATGAAGATAAGGTATCTAGCTAGGCTAGTATCTTATTTTATTTGATATAATACTTAAAGATAAAATAAATCTAAGACACTAAAGAAATAATAACAATCCCTAGATACTAAATCAAATCTTAATAAACCCTAGATCAAATCAAATATAATTCTCATCATTTTTCCCTGGTTGAAATTAAAGAACTCCCCATCGGAGAGGTAAATAGTTGGTAGTTGGTGAGCAAAGCATAGTCAATGGTGCAAAACTCCTTTGCAGTGATCCACTTGGCTTCTAAATTTGAATGACCCTTTCAATGGACAAGGTATTGTTGGACAGGACCTGCTTGAGTGATAATTGTCTGTTCATCTATGACAGCATCAATGGTATCATAAGTGGCATAATAATAGGCAATGATGGAATTGGGGCATGGTAGGGCTGTGTACCTACAAAGTTATCAAAGAGTAAAGGGGGTGGCTCAATAGTATCCTAATAAGGAATAGCATCCTCAACATTAAATAGTAGATTGATAGACATATTTGGAGGTAAATCTAACAAATAAGCATTAGGCCCTAGTTTTTTTACAATGTGAAAAGGGCTAGAAGCATGAGTATATAACTTCTTGAGTGAATTTCTCGAGAAGTGCTCTGGGCATATGCGTGCCACGATGTAGTCTCCAACATCAAATTCTTGGGAACGATAGTGTGCATTGGTAGCTAATTTATATGCATCATTACCTATTGCTGACTTATACCTAATCTCAACATGAAGGTTGTGAAGGCGATGGGCAAAAGCTTCAGCTGATTTAGATGTACAGGTCGTAAGAAGAATGGGTAAGAGGTCAATAGGTTGTTTAGGGTTTTACCTTTGAACAATTTAAAATTGACTTTTACCAGTGGATCGATTGACCAAATTATTATAGGCAAACTCTACAACTGGCAATAACAAATCCCAATTTCCCAGTTTATCACTGACTAGACTTCTAAGTTAGTCACCTAAACTACAATTAGTGACTTCAGTTTGACTATCAGTTTGAGGATGAAAGGGAGAGGAGAACTTTAATTGGGTACTAAAGAGCTTACAAAGGATCTTCCAAAAATAACTAACGAAGTTAATGGGTTAATGGACAACCCTAATGATAGGGGTCTGGCATATACTAGAAATGTCGATACAAGGCCTATAGTTAAGGTCACTCATTAATCTTTTATAGGTCTTAATAACCCTAACACTATACCATCTTAACTTTTGACTAATCCTCAGCCATACGAGGAAGAAGTGCCTTAGGATGAATAAGATAGGCACGAGTGATATGAGTCGCCATCTAGGAATAGGTATTTCCTAAGGAATAGAGCATTAGACCCTAGGCATGACTGAAAGCCCTTTTAACATGATTACTATGATGATTACTATGATGATTACTATGATGATACCATTAAAAAGGTTAAGGTAGAAGCACCTAAGTTTAATGGAAGGCTAAACCTAATTAACTTCTTAGATTAGTTAGCTAATATGGATGACTACTTTGATTGGTACAACATGAATGACATGCAATGCGTTTGCTTCGAGAGAAAAAATGAAGCTTATAGGATCTGCTAGGAAATATTGGCAGAATGTCTAAGATAATTTAGAGCGCTTATATCAACCTTCTATAAACACATGGGTCTAGATGAAGCTGAAACTAAAGGAGAAGTATGTGCCACCTAGCTATAAGAGTAAGTTGTACAATTAACTACTTAACTTTAGGCAAACTTCTATAGCATTTGAATACGTTTCTTGATATGAGGACCTCTTTATTAGGAATAATGTGTCTGAGGCTTCTTGGATAACTATTGAAAGGTTCAACAACGGCCTTAAATTAGACATACAACATAAATTTAGGATAAACTATCTAGATACCCTCAAAGAAGCGTACCATAAATCTACGGAGATAGATATTTTGTCTCGACACCCATCTACGAGACAAATTAATTTGTCAACCATGGATCCGCATTATAACCATAGCCTTATGAGTAACCTTAGTAATGCTACACCTCAACGGTCAACTTTCGAATTTGTTGGGCCAAATGTGTCATGAAATAGAAAATTCTTAAGGTCTACTTCTCGTATTAAGGGCTTTAAATTGAATGTTTTAAATGTTACTCTAGAGGCAATATGGCATCTAGATGCCCTCAACGTGCTCTACTCCTTAAATCTCAAGAAGAAGGTGGATTAACTGAGTGCGCACATGATATTGTAGTAGACCTTATCGAGAGCCCCTCTGATGTGGATGTAGAAATTATTGCAAATGAAGTTCCTTCAAGTCATCTTGGGGTTATGCGATGTCTAATAGCTATTTTATCACTTGATGATTCATGGAAAAGAAATAGTATCTTCCACACATTCATGAAGTGTGGTGATAAGTCATGTAAGTTATTCATAGACAATGGAAGTAAGCGGAATATGATCTCCAATCACGACGTTACTCGACTTGGACTTAATACGAAGCCTCTTGCTAAACCTTTTGTGTCGCTTAGATTGATAATACTTCCTTGTCCAAAATGCAACACTATTGAGTGCCCCTTCATTTAGGTGACTATTAAGAGGAAGTCCTTTGCGTTGTTGTTCCCATGGATGTGTCGCACATCTTATTGGGATGACCTTGGATCTATAACCATGATGTTACTATTCATGGCCAAGCAAATACCCATACATTCAAATATGATGGCAAAATTATTCTTTTACACACTGCCAAACCAAAAATTGAATACAATTGAAGAACCATAGAGCTATTTATAGAGCCCTAGAATTAACAAAAATAAAAATAAATCTAAATCTAAATCAAATCATAATATAAAAGATGAAGATAAGGTATCTAGCTAGGCTAGATGTCTTATTTTATTTGAGATAATACTTAAAGATAAAATAAACCTAAAATACTAAAGAAATAATAACAATCCCTAGATACTAAATCAAATCTTAATAAACCCTAAATCAAATCAAATATAATTCTCATCACATATTCTTTTGACTAATTAAAGTTATATTTTTTTAAATAATGTTGATCTTTTCCAAATTTATGTATTCTTCCTTTTATTATCATGATAATGTTTTGAATTAATAACCAATTAATGTAGGTTTTGGGTATTGCACTAAAGTCCAAAAATAAGTAATTATTCTCGAGTTTTAATTTTATATAATATGGAAACTCAAAAATTGTAAATAATAATCTTAAAAAAGTATCCGTACTATCAATTAAACATACAAGTCATTCCTTAACTGGTTGTTATTTAATTTTTAAAATTCAAAAAGGGTAACGGTGATATAGAATTCCACCATGAATGAAATGTGCACGGTGACTGACGACTGGTTTGATAGAGGAGTTATTTATGATATTGGTGTTAAATATGGCGTCCTTCCAGGAGACATGTGTCAAATATATTGGCAAATTTCAAAAAAAAAAAGGTGAATTGTGGATAATTAATACTCCTTCCATCATAAAGTACAAAACGCTTTTACAAGAGATTTAACACTTCAAAATATAAAACAATTGACAAAAATAATGGTTCATTAATGATATTTTTCTAATATATTACCCTTCACATTGTGTTCTCTCTTTTTAATATTCTTTTATAAATGGAGCATTAAATTAAAGGTATTTTTTAAAGTTTATTTTTTTTTGAAAAAATAAAATTGTAAAGTGTATTTAATAAATTTTATTTATATGTGTAATTTTATTAAAAATATCTTATAATTTAGGACAGAGGAAGAATAGTTTGACTTCAACCTTATAAGGTTTGAAACCCTAATAATGTCAAAACAAATAAGTGAATAAAAACCAAAATTTTTCCGCTCACATATATTTTGAAGGGTTAAAGGAAATTTTCACCCTTAAACTCTAGGGTAATTTATGAGATTTCATTTTTAATATAATATCCTCCTTTAACTTTTAAAAATAATACCATATCACCCCTGCCATTAACCAAAGTAAACTTTGAGCATTAGTGATCCATAAAATTATTGAATGATCAAAAAAATAATATAAACTGACCCAAAAAATTATAGAGCATGACTCAAAAAAAAAATTTAGAAAAGGAAGGGACCAATCATTTTCTATAATTATTTATCAATTAACAATCAAAGTTCACTTTTATTAACGGCAATGACAATAAGGCATCATTTTCAAAAGTTAAAAAAGAATATTATACCTAAAATGAGTTTAAAGTCCCAAATGCTCATGAACTTATAGTGTAGAAGTTAATTTGTCATTTAAAATGGTCGCTGGAGTGAACAGCCAAGTTGGTATGAATGGTGGATAATTAATACTGTTTAAATTGCATCAACCCTATAATCCGCTAAAAATGAGAAATGTGACCGTAATAAGGTTACACACCCTAATAATGTAAAAACAAATAAATGAATAAAACCCAAATTTGCTCCCCATATATATTTTGAATGGTAGCTGCAGCGAATAGTCAAGGTGGTTGTCGCTGGAGCTCTTTAATAAATCAGAACCAAACATTGGCTTCGCATACTGCATCTGCATTACACAATCTTAAGGATATATGTGCAGGGAATGAGGCGTTTCTCAAATCTAAATTGAAAGGTATGATTCTTCAAAAGAATTGTTATGTCTTTGTACAAACAGATCCATCTTGCTCATCTTTTTGTCTCATTCTGCCATGTGTTTAATGCTACATCTCTTCTTCTCTTTTCTCATCGTTTCCTTCATTTGCTCTCTCCGATGCATTCTTAATTACTATGGTTTATCTTAGTCTTTCTGTCCCCCCCCCCCCCATTTTTCGTTGTGGATATGCTTTCATCTTGCCTTTGATCGATTTTCCTAATAGCTTTTGCTGGCCGGCAGACTTGGATGATGATTAAGAATATACACTGTTCTCTTCTCGTTGGTATACTGTCAGACCTAAGTTTTATTAACTAAAAGCTTAATCAAAAACCATGATAATAAAAAGATTTAAATTAATAAAAATAATTATCATGGTATAAAAATGTAATACCAATTTTTAAATTTATTTTTAAAAGAGAACCATGATCAAAAAGAGTTTGTTTAAATTTTAGAGCGCTATCATGGTTATAAAAAATTCATCTAATAAACATATACTTAAGAACTAACCTTAGTAAAAAAAGGATTAAACTAGATAAAAGTGCTCATACACAATCTTGCTCGTTCGATTACAGTGACAGAAAAGAGTTTCTTGCTTCATCTCTCTCTCTCTCCCTCTCGATCGATCATGTGTGCTGAAGCTATCATTTTTGACTTCACTGCCATCAATCGAGGCCGGAAACTCACCATTGGTGACTTCTGGTCCGAGCTCAACCCTTTCTCTAATCTCCTCGTCTTCGATACTAACGTTGAATCTGTCAAAAGACAAACGCCATGGAAACTCCGTCAAGTCCCAATCAGTAAAGGGGCAGGTGAGAAGAAGGAGAAGAAAAGCAGGCGTGAAGAGCGCTGGACGAAGAGCACGCAAGAACGTGTACAGAGGAATAAGGCGGAGGCCGCGGGGCAAGTGGGCCGCAAAGATAAAGAACCCTCCTGTTGAATGGTTTACACAGGAAACCAAGCCAGTCTATGTTTTCCATGTAAACGGCCACTTTATTTAGGATTGTGCCCAACAAATGTACGATCCTAATTGTAATTGTTATCTTTGGAACAATTCTAATGGTGACGAAGAATGGTATGCCTCCAGAAGGATTTCTTGTAAGCCAAAGAAGCCTAAATCTCCTTGCAAACGTAAGTGTCCTCCTAAGGATGATGAAGATGATAATCATGGCCCAAAGCTGACTAGAAGAAAATGGGTAAGCCTTCCAAATCCTCCAATTGAAAAAAGCATTTTTTTTTTTTTAGCTTCTTAAAGAACTTGGCCATAAAGACCTTCTCCCTTTGGAGAAGCCTGAACCTATTATTCCAACATTCTTGCCTGCACAGTCCCACACTTTTTTTTTTTAATCTTTATTATAGGTTTCATATAAACTCTTATTATACAAAAATTAAATTTGAAAAAAAAAAGAAAAAAACCATGATATTGTTCATTCAATTGTAGATGAGCAGTACCATGTATGCACTTTACTATATATATTGATTATGTTTATATTAAATTATAACATGCTTGATCATTTTTGTATTAACAAAAGCTTCAATATGTTGTAGAAATTTCAACAGAATCTCCCCTACAAATGAGATCTCTCAAAAATTCTACAATACAATATTTTAAATAAACTGAGATAATAATCAAGAGCTCAGCTTCTTCTAGTCAGCAGATAGAGTATATCACAAAATAAGAGCCTTAGCTATAGACTACGTGGAGCATTTTACCATACTTCCAAAAATAAAATACATGACTTTATTTATTTACATAAAAAAGGAGAGAATTTTTAAAAAAATTCCGCCCAGCATAGCTACAAACCCCTCAGATGTTAGCAAAAGGATCGGTGTTAGTTAATGAATCTGAGATCAAAACAAATTTTCAGTGAATAACATCCCCAACAATATAATTTAAAAGAGAAAAAATAATAAACTCATGATTATATAAAATAATTTAAAGGAGAGTAATTCAATATAATAAACTCACTAAATCTAGAAATCTCAATTATAATCATAAAATGTGAGTGAACTAAAGTTACTTGATTCTAATATGCTTGAGGAAAACTATCACACCCTGATATAAAAGAGTGTAACTATTACAGAATATGAGATAAGCTCACATTTCATAAGTTTTAATTGAATCAGAGATTAAGCTAAAATAATGATAAATAACTTATATATAATTATAAAGTTCGTAAAATCTAAAGTATTTTGTAAAATTTTCGACGGAGTCTCCCATATAATTTGGACCTACCAAAATTTTTATCATTGCAAAACCTTTTTGCTAATCTAGTAAAGGAGACTAGTGCTATACCAGCAGATTATGTATCAGCAAATAAAACTAGGACCTAACTACAACATAATTGGAGCACTAAATTTATAATTTGAATATAATACAAATTTACATTAAAATGAAAGGTAAAAGAGTGCTCCTACTATCCAAAAGCAATACTACCCCTCAATCATCAATAGGAGCTATAGGATCAGCTACAATATATAAGATTAAAGAAATTTTTTAATGAATAACATGCTAATTTATAGCTGAAGGAAATAGTGAAAAGTAAATCAATGAGTCAATTATAAATTTACTAAAATAATCAATTGAAAATAATTTAAACACATGTCTCATAAATATCAATATCAATGACTAGGTAAATGCATAAATCATGAATATATAAATCCAAAAAAAAATTATTAGAAGTTCAAATTTCCTTTCCTTCTACTTCTTCCATTTTCAATAAATTTCTACAAATACTTAAACATCTTGGGAAATATATACTGTTTAATATAAAATTCATATATAGTTAAAATAGTAGTTTGCTTTCCTAGATCAAATATAAAGAAAACAAGTTTCAAAATTTCTTCTTTAGTGGGACTTAATCAAAATGATTAATAAGCATGGACAAACAATCCATGAAGGTAAATCACCAATAAGCACAGCTTAAAGCTACAAAAGCACAAGCACGAAGCCCACAAAACAAGCTTGAGTAACATTCATGAATATTCATCTCTCTGTTCCACATGCATAAGCCTATGCACGGAGCTAACATCTCCTATAAATGCCCTGTTAGCTAGGTGTATCATGATACGTCAAGAGTTAACGAAACTACCGTTAGCATCTAACATTCTGAACTTAGTCCTCTTAATCAAAATCAAGTGTGCATGAGTCTAACATCCATTTTAAAATTACTCTTTTCAAAATATAAGGTTCAACTGTCAACTTTCCTTTCCAACATTTTTTCTCATGCATGAATCACCATGTTAATAGATTTCAAATCAAATATAAAATTCATTAGATATTGGATCCAATAACATAACTTCTTGATAAGATAGAGTAATTTAAATAATAACCCAATTGAATAAAAATAAGATAAATAGAGAGGATTATATAAATTGTAAAGAAAATAATAGCAAGACTTTAACAAAGTATTAAATAAAGATATTTTAAGAAAATTTTTTAAGATAAATGGGATGCACTCACACGCATGAGGGATTCCCAAGAATTTTAAAATTTGCTTCATTTCAACTTCTCAATTAATTCCAAGGGTGCAATTAATTTTCCCAATAATTCAATCACAAACCAATATTTAATTTAATATATTCTACTTTAGTTACTCCAAAATTCTAATCAATATTTTCAAACATATGAATTGTATATATAATTACTCATATAGCTTTCCAAGTCAAATTCAAGAATGAGCATTTTAATTTAAAATTGATAGCTGCACTTTTATGCTCAAATGTAATTTCTTAAGGTTTTTTCATTGACATTATAAACTTTTTAAAGCAGAATATAAACTTCTCTTTCCTTGTCAATAATGCCAAATTTAATTATATTACTCAATCAACCTTACCATTCTCTTAAGCATTTAAACAAATACCTTTGGAGCATACCCATTTTCTCACAACAAAACCAATTTACATATATTCATTCCAACTTCTCATCATAATTTAATTCATAAATCAAACTTCCATACACTACGAAAGCATCAATAAGAATACAAAACATCTCAAATTAAAATCCCAATCAAACATTTGAATCACATTGGAGAGCAACTAAAATGAATAACCTTAACTAAAAAATCTAATAATATGTATTATAGACTTATTCAATAAGCTTCTTCCCTCACTAACACCAGCTGGAACAATTAAAACAAAATTCTAGCTCCCTCTTTCAACAGCCATAGTAGCTCAAGGAAGATAAGGAATGCATCTATAAGCCAGAAACGAAACAGGGTGAGCCATAACAGAAATTCGGCGACTCCACCTCAGCGAAGAAGATCGGTGCTGACAGGGGAAGGGTGGCAGGCAACTAACGGCGGCAGAAGGGCAGTCGGTGTTGATGGATAGAAACGCAGACCAACGGTGAAGGGAAAGGAAGGTTTCGGACTCTTGCTCTCACTCTCACTTTTTCTGGCGTTGGACAGAGGAGGAGACGAGATAAATTGGATAATAAAAGTCATTTGGGCATTTCTGTTATGACACAAAAGACATGGGCTTTTTGGTAATTTTTCCATAATTAAAACAGAATAACATTAACCTATTAGAATTTAGACTCTAGATCTCCAATGAGCTAGTAGTATAAGTTCCACAATACCACTACTCTCTATTTGCCATAAAACTAGAACAATTAAATAAAATATTAATTGAAAAAAAATTTATGTAGTTTAAAAATTTGGGATCATTACAAAAACAAATTATTCATATTTGAATCAAATTAAAACACTTACTGATTGCAACCTTAAGGATTCAAAGCTTTGAAATTTTAAATATACAAGTGGATTAAAAATTTTAAATTTTGAGGACTTAATATGATAAGTACCAAATGTTGATATACAATCAATGAAGATAAATAACTAAACATGATTTATACCATGAAGACAAATATGAACACACAATTCAAGAGGAGAAGTAATCAAACGTAACATGAGGTACAAAAATAATGTGGATACATAATTCATGAGGTTAATATTAATCAAACATGACTTGCAACCAAGAAATCTAAAGCAGTTATAAGACCCATAAATATCAAACGTGAGAACAGAGCTCATGAAAGATCAAACTAGTTAGTTATTAACCAAGATGTACTAAGGCCTAACGAAAGTTCCATTAGCAACAGTGTTCTATTTACAGTCCCCTTAAAAATCTCACTTCAAACATGGAAGAAAATGATCATCATTAAAGTACCTCTTTTATTTTCAATGTTAAACTCGCATGAGTAATTAAACATCAAAACTTAGCAAAATAAAATTTCCTAACTCATGTCCAAACTTGCATTTGTCCAAGAATTTAACAAAGCTAAATAAATAACAATGCCTTCATCAATTTTAAAAGTATATCTCTTAAGAAAAAATATACTCATATTATAATTTAATTATTCCTTATCATTATTATATAATTTTCAAAAATAAGATAATGCAAATAACAAAGTACTTTATATTAGTTATAGTTGTTATGAAAAATGATATATATATATATATATATATAATTTGATAATTTCAATGAAAGACTTTTATCACCAAGTTAATAGGGTGCTATTCATTTACCTAAAATGTTCTCAAAGTATAAGATTCTTCTCTTATCGCTTTAATCACATTTCTTTTTTTTCCAAACTTCCTATACAATAAAATAGGGTTTTAGTAAATTTTTACCAAGGCTCAAAAATTCTCTCCCAACATTAATATATCCTATATATGATGATTATAAATTTACAACCTTGGAACCAAAATTTGCACACAAATTTCTTTATGAATATAGCTAATTTCCAAATTTCAAGTGCAATCTCCTTTCAAACATTTTGCCAAAAATCTAATGTGCATCACTCTCAATCCACTCAAGAGAGCTTTGTCACATTCAAATCTCTTATCACATAATTTGACAACCATCATCCATTACCGAGAGTTTCACAACATCAACATTGTAATCGATAAAATCAAATTAAATTAAATTAAAACACAAACCCACATCATTATTTTCTTGATCTTAATACTAGAATTTTCAACTTAAATTAGTTCCCCTTCAAACTCAAGCACTCATGGTAACACAAGGAAAGGAAATTTCACAGCTTTAACCATTTCCGGCACTCACATGTACAGT